CCTGGAACTACAGGCGTGCGCTACCACATCCGGCTAATTTTTGATTTATTGTAGAGATGAGGTCTCACCAAGTTGCCCAGGCAGGTCTTGAACCCGTGGGCTCAGGCAATCCACTCACCTCAGCCTCCCAAGGCACGGGATTACAGGCTGAGCCACCGAACCCGGCGTTATCTAATTTTATACTTGCTCACTTTCCTTTACTATCTGAACCAATCTTCCTAACCCTCCAGCAGTTGTTTAAAATGACTTTCAGTGTAGTTTTCTCCATGGTCACATCTCAAGAAGCATTGCATCCGCACCGCTGTCACTGACCGCTTCCCTTCTCCATTGTCCTTGAGTCTTCCTCCAGCTGTCCCAGCACCACACGCAGGTTTTCTCATCTCTTTTCAGCTCTGCATTTGCCTTTCTTCTCTCCGGTTCTCATCTTCCTGTGTCATTCTTAGAATCACAGATGTTTCTGTGAAGACTTGCTGCTATTTCTTCTTGTTATTCTGGGATGGTTTTTGAGGGGGGTAGTCATCTTTTTCTTTTTTTCTGTCATCTTGAACCATGAAATGTCTCTATACATAAGATTTTTATAATTAATGCTGTTTGGAGTCATTTCCATTTGAGTAGTATCTGAACTGTAGAGACTACTCCTGTAACTCAAAATTAAAGTGATTTGGTACAGTCTTAACAGAAATCAACTTTTTTTACTTGGGTTCTTTTGTAATCATGTGACTATTATTACTTTGTTATGTGTTCTCAAGTTATTTTACAGTTTTCCATTTCTTTAAAGTTTTCAAAATCATTGTTTAGACTTAGTTTTCTTTTTTTCTTTGAGTTGGAGTCTCACTCTGTCACACAGGCTGGAGTGCAGTGGCATGCTCATGGCTACCACAGGCTCAACCTACTGGGCTCAGGCAAGTAGCTGGAACTACAGATGTGCGCCACCAAGTCCAGCTAAATTTTTGATTTATTGTAGAGACGAAGTCTCGCCAAGTTGCCCAGGCTTCTCTCAAACCCCTGGGCTCAGGCAATCCTCTTGCCTCCACCTCCCAAAGTGCTGGGATTACAAGCATGAGCCACCACACCTGGCTGTTTAGACTTAAAATTAACCATTGTGTTTAGTAGTATACATTGTGATGTGTTGTGTAAGAACAAACCTATAGAAAGATTTTACTGGTTATAATGAAATCTCTAAATAATTTTATTTACTACATAATCTCTGAGTTATCTTTTCTATCAACTTAAGTTGATCATTTGGTGCTAATTTTATGGTGTTTCAGTGAGTATATAAACAAGTGGTATAGATGGTATGGTAAGCAGCTTGTGTGTACCTCTTGTTGCTATCATAAGGTGGGTCTAGTTGTTTTAGTCCAATAATTAAGAATATTCAGGTATATTCACCTCTTAACTATAGTTTGTTGTTTTACAGAGTATGATTTTTGATACCACTACAAAGAGTGAAACCGTAGTACAGGAAGATAAAACCAAGTTGTTGAAAGCTGCTTTTCTGCAGTTCTGCAGGTATGACATGTTTTAGAATCAAGACTCGTTGTATGTCTGAGGATGTGTTGATACTACTTACCTGATCATGGGTGGGAGTGAGTTTGAGGAATGATGTCATCAAGAGGAGAATGCCTTCTCCACTTCCTAAAAACAATGTGCATTAAAAATGGTGACCATGGAGACATCTTGCAAGCGTCTTCTATGTGTAATGATAAGGTGCAAATAAGTTGAATGCAAAGTTTTATCAGTAATGTACAAAAATTAGACCTGGTCTGTTAGTTGGGTTTTGCTGTATACAAAGTCACTACAAAACATAGTGACCTATTGAATATGGCCCACAGTTCTGCAACTGGCTATTGGGATGGGCTCAGGTGGCAGTTTTCCATGTCCTAGCTAGGCTTGCTAGAGAGGGTTTCAGAGGGGCAAGATACCAAGCCTCAGCACACAAGCATTCTTTTAAGTCTACTTGTGTGATGTTGGCCAGAGCAAGTTGCAAGATGAACCATAAATGGGAGGGTGCGTAAGCAGATGTGTGTATGGGATGAGAAGTTGTTCTCACCCTGTCACATCTGCTGACCTTCTGTCATGCATGCTGATCTTAAAATCTTCTGGGTTTAAGGAGAATGCAGGTTTCGGTGTATCCTAGACATGTATTCTGCATGTCGTATGTTCTGGTACCAAGAGGATTGTGGTAGACAGTAGCAAATATACACAACCTTTTAGGCAGCTCAGCTATAAACAGGAAATGACAGATCTGGTGACTGAGCTCAAAGGGACACAGAGTTAAAGACTGGTCTTTTATTTAAATGGAAGAGCAAATATAACTAAGTCCTGATGAGAAGGAGCCGTAAAAGAAAGGTCAGAGACAGCGGAAAGGGACACCTCCTGCTTAACTGGAGAGAAGGAGGAATACAGGTAGGCTGCAGACACACGTGCAGGTGGCAAGTATAGGAGTCTGTATCCAATAGTTTCCGTGACCTCTGAAGCCAGAGGTGGAGTCATCTGCTAGTGAGGGAGAAGGGAGAGATGGAAAGTTGGAGAAGACTAGAAAAGGGCTTAAACGGTCTCTTAGGAGAACTGGAGATGGAGCTGACTAGACACATGCAGAAGAGCTGCCTCACAGTGACAGGCGGGTGAGGCTGATGACCTAGTCATGCTGGAGGTCGTGGGGCTACAGAGGTGGCTGCAACAAGATTCCCTCAGTAATTACAGAATAGGTTTCGCAACTTTTCACAAACAAAAGACTTTATGTGTTTTGAGTTGAAATGAAAACCAAAATACAAAAACTAAGTTCAAATAAATCATGCTAAGAAAATAGTAATATTACCTTAGCAAAAAACTGAACAGCACTTTAAAGTGTTATCTACCAATTTTGAGCCCAGGGAGCATTTGGCAATGTATGAAGATAACTTTGCTTGCCACAAGCAAAGGGAAAGGGTGGCACTGGTATCTAGTGGTAAGAGTCAGGCTGTTTTAAACTGTCTATAATTCACAGGACAGCCCCAACAACAAAAAGTTATATGGCCTCAAATATCAATATTGCCCGGGGTTGAGAAGTTATGCTTCAAAGGCACCACAGTTCTACTTGTAAACGATCTACTTCTTTAAGCCACCTAGCTGATAAGTCTCCAGAAATGATCACTTGGTAAGCCTACAGTCTGACCAGAATGAGTCCAGCATAGCTGTGCTCCAGACCCAACGATACTTTTCCCAAGGTCATCACTTGCTCAGGTCTTAGGTCAGGGGTTTCTTCTCATACCTAATTATCTTCCCCTATAAAACACTTTAAAATGACTACCCTGGGTTGAATAGTGTCCCCACTAATTCATGTCTCCCCAGTGCCTCAAAAGGCGACCTTATTTGGAAATAAGATTTTTGCAGATATAATTAGTTAAATTGAGATAAAGATTATTAGGGTGGGCCCTTAATACAATATCTGTTGTCCTTGTAAGGCCATGTGAAGACAGCTACGTGGGGACGAGGCCATGTCACAATGAAGGCAGGAACTGGAGTGATGCATCTACAAGCCAAGGGGTGATAGGGATCTTTGAGCCGGGAGAGGCAGGAAGGATCTTCCCCAGAGTCTTCAGAGGGAGCATGGCCTTGCTGACTTTGGATTTTGGGCTGTGAAAGAACCAATTTCTGTTGTTTTAAGCCATGCAGTTTGGGGTAATTTGTTATAGCAGCCACAGGAAACGAACAGAATGACTGTGGTGACTTGCTGCTTTGTTATTTACATTTTGAGATGCCACAGATATGATAGAACTGTAATTACATCATAAAGTGACAATATTTTATTTTAATTTTTTTGAGTCAAGGTCTCACTCTGTCACACAGGCTGGAGTGCAGTGGCACGATCACAGCTCACCGCAGCCTTGACCTGCTGGGCTTAGATGATCCTTCTGCCTCAGCCTCCTGAGTAGGTGTGAGTACAGGCTCACACCGCCATGCCTGGCTAATTTTTAAAATTTATTTATAGAGATGAGGTCTCCCTGTATTTACTAGGCTGGTCTCAAACCCCTGGGCGCAAGCAGTCCTCTTGTCCCTGCCCCACAGAGTGCTGGGATTACCCTTGTGAGCCACTGTGCCCAGCCTCTCTTCATGTGCACTGTGCTGAGTCCCTCATGGGTTCGTGGACACCTGGCTGTCCTCTCATCTCATCCCTCTGCCTCTTTTTATGGGCTTACCTGTCCTTTAATAGGTTGTCCTGGAAGCTTTGCTCCAAGCCCCTCTACCTGGTGACCTCAGCCTCTTCTGAGGCTCACTTGCTGATAGGCTCTGGGTGCAGCTGTATGCTCCTCCGCACTCTCCACCCTGCCTTGCCCAACCGCTGCTTCTCCTGTCAGGAAGTGTCCCCTGCCCTCTAGTGTATTTGTACGCTCTTTGGCCCGCTGTTCTTTCCCTGTTACAGTGCTCATCATGCTCTGTGTGTCGTTGCTTATTTAATTGTCTGACTCCTCGGTACTATATACCTTATGATGTCCAGAACTATTTTTAATGTCTTTTTATCATTCTGTGTCCAGGGCCTGGCATATTGTAAGTATTCAGTATATATCTGTTGAGTTAATTAATGTATAATACTTCTTCCCTTTGATGAAATATATTTTGTTAAAAGTAACTTTGGGGCCAGGCATGGTGGTTCATGCCTGTAATCCTAGTACTTTGAAAGCAGAGGCAAGAGAATTGCCTGAATCCAGGTGTTCGAGAGTAGCCTGTGCAGCTTGACGAGACCTTGTCTCTATGATAAATCAAAAAATTAGCCTGGTGTGGTGGTGCAAGCCTGTGATTGCAGTTACTTGGAAGGCCGAGGCAGAAGGATTGCCTGAGCCCAGCAGGTCAAGGCTGTGGTAGTTGGGAGTATGACACTGCACTCCAGCCTGGGCGACAGAGTGAGACTCTAACTCAAAAAATAAAATAAAAGAAGTAACTTTGGGCTAAAACCTGTAAATGACACTGACTTTAGCTTCACAGTTTTTTCTTGATGAGTTTTTAAAATATTTTCTCTCCCTTAACACTTGTGTTTTCCAATTTTATTTCAGAAAAGATTTGGGTAATGCTCAAATGATGGTTGATGAACTCTTTTCCTCTCACCCTGATTTGGAGTCTGATTCCGAACTAGACAGGGCTGTTACCCAAATCAGTGTCGACTTGGTGGATGACTATCCAGCTTCTGATCCACGGTGGGCCGAATCTGTCCCTGAGGGTAAGAGCAATTTAAATTTAATATTATGGAGTGATTTGTTTTTGAGAAGAATCTTCTAGTTCTTTATTAAAGGCTTCTCTCAAAGCACATTTTTTAGTTTCTCAAATAATTTAATATTAATTCAGTTTTTTTAAAAGACTGTAAACTTCCTTATGGTAGGTTTTGAAAAGGGTTCAGAACAGATAGATAACAGAGAAGGAACTAAGAGAACGTCCATTGGAGCAAATCCCAGTTGTTCTTGGGCAAATTAATTAGCCCTCCTTAGCTTCCTCAGCTTTCTTATTTCTGAAAGGAAATTGTTGGCATAGGTAGGTATTTGGCACTTACTTGACCCCAAACTAAATGATAATTTTGGCATAATCAGTGTGTTTGGCTGATAGAGTAACTCCTCTCCTAAGAGCAGCAGTGAGCAAATCTCAGTTTGTAGCAGTGGGCATGTCCTGTCCTCTTACACTTACCTCCACTCAGCACCGAGGACACTTTGGGGGTTCTTAAGTGCCAGGGAACTGTCTCAAACATATATTTCTCTTCCTAATTATCTAAACATCAGTGCTCTCCTTTGTTTGACTATTTCTTGGAACTGTCAAGCTTAAAAATTACACAAATGGCAACTTGGTGAGACCTCATCTCTACAATAAATCAAAAAAATTAGCCGGGTGTGGTAGTGCGCGCCTGTAGTTCCAGCTACATAGAAGGCTGAGACGGAAGGATTGCCGGAGCCCAGCAGTTTGCGGCTGTGGTGGCCGGGAGCGGCCACTGCACTCCAGTCTGGGAGACAGAGTGAGACTCCAA